GTGTGTGTGTGTGTGTGTGTCCGCGGCAATTTGTCCGCAGTTTTCAATTCGGGAACCACAAAAGCTAGCAAGCTAAAAATTTAGTGGTATGTTCCCCGCCCATGCGTGACCCCGCAAATTTAAATTCAGCCTTCTCCTGCTCATGGATAACAAGACCCGTAAAAATTTTTGGCGGGAAAATTATAGTTTCGGAAACCACGGAAGCTGGAGGACCGAAATTTTGTGGGCGTGTCCCTTGTTACGTGCAAGCTCGCAAATTTAGATTCAGGGTTCCGAGTTCTTTGGATATCACCGATGGCTCCGTAAGAACTCGGTGGGGAAATATTGTTTCGGTAACCATAAAAGCCAGGAAGCTGGAATTTTACGATAATCTCCTCTGCCCGTATGCAGTCCCGCAAATTTAAATTCAGCCTTCCCGCGCCCTCGCGCATATCGATTATTTTTCCTCATGGTGTTAAACAATTATATTTTTAACAGGCAAACATTCGTTGGGCGCAACTGCACAAAACGTATGATCGCACCGACTGCCCTGGTGCGTGTCGCTATTTGTTTACCGCTGGCCTGTTAAATTTTTGTTAATAATGGCTCTGACGAATAACTGGTATGACTACGTATAGAAGAAATGAGGGACGACCCAAGCAGCGCATGACCTACTTCACCGGAAGAGCGGACTCCAGAATCACCAGTAGGCTCATCATCAGTCTTAAAGTAATTTACTAAATTGCACATATTAATGCTAATAAAAAAAAAGACTCTAAATTATTTTAAGGGCCTTTCCAGAAATGGTACTTGTTGATAAAAGTGTTTGTCCAGATGTTTCCGAAAAAATGGTGCACACGACACGCACCAGGCGGGCCCGTGCGATCGTGCGTTTTTGCAGTATTTCGCGCTGTTCGTTCGGAAACCCAGTAGCTGAATTCATGCCATACTAGTCCTCAAAGTTCGGGAAGTTAACTGCGCAACTGCGTGATACTTGGACACGGAACAATTTGTTAAAATTTCGCCTCCCAGCTTTCCTGGTTCCCGAGTCAGCGATTTTCCTGCCAGAACTTTCACCTCCTCGTACGCGCGGCCCAAAGTTACGTGAGAGTTGGTACCGCGGCTTTGGAAACCTACTGGCAAAATTTTGGCGCCGAAGCTTGCTTGGTTGCCGAATTCAAATACCCGAACAGACGAACACAGATATATAATCATGCATCGGGGTCGTCACAATATGTGTTTTTACATTTATATATAAGCAAAGACGCATAATGAGAACTAGCTGAGGAGAAAATGGACCAGCACAGCTGCTCTTGGTTTTTGACTACAGTTCAGTAATATTAAGAGTTTAGTATTAGAAATATGGTTTTTAAGGCATTTCTGAAGTATCCGGAATAGCCGTAATCTATCTTTTGGTTCGCCAGCTAAACGACTGACAAATTTTTTCTATTCCTTTGACCAGTGCTGCATTACCCAATGGTGCATAGCAGGTGATCCCAGCGTCATTTGAAGGGAGTAGAAGCACACAAGGCTTATCATCGTCAAATCTATGTTCATTTCTGTCAGTCAGAATATACACGCATTATTGCTTCAGTAAAGTAGTGGTTGTTCTGGGTATGAGAAACCTTTTGCATCAATTTAGATGATTTTGGCATCACCACCTCGTCATGAATGTTGCTACCTTTTGAGTACTGAGAAAACCATTCCACATTATTGTTTCATCTGTTGCGAACCTGTCGGCAAAAACCCGACTTTACCCGTTGCAGTCAACTCGTATCCAGATTGTACGAAACTCTGGCCGTCATGAGAAAAGCGATGCTTGCAAATTATACGTATACATAAATTACATGTTCTGATAAGATTCGTTGCAGAAAGGAACGATCACTGAACTGATTAACTGGCACATACTTACGCAAACGCCTCTCTCGGAGAGCAGCCATGCAATTTTGAAAAAAGGCATTGAACGGCCAAAATGGCTAATCAAGAGCAGTCAGGTGCGCCTGATCAAGAAGCTGGGCCAGGGGGCATTTGGCGAGGTTAATTTTCTATGGAAAGATAGGAAAAGCAAAGAATTATGGAAGTCCTAGTAAGATTAAAACAAGTCCTCTCGACTCAAGTAGCCATCTTATTTCGTTGATTCGTCTTGATATTATGCCAGATTAGCCATGAACAATCTTCTTTGTACCCCTAAAGCTGGTAATTACTGCTAGCATTGTACACTCAGATGCCTCGGCCCTCTGGAACAAAAACAGCATGCAAACTAGACTTAATCTTTCATCACGGAAAATGTTTCCGAATCTCAGGTATTTTTTGGGGAATATACGGATGAAGATTCACGGGTATATCCGGCAGCGGTGAAAACGATGCACGAAAAGGCATCGCGTGTTGCTCGTTTGAGTTTTCTCAAAGAGGCACGAATTATGCGCAAATTCGATCATCCCAATATTGTTCACATCTTTGGTATTGTTGTTGACCAATCGCCCATGTTAATACTTATGGAGCTTTGCCCAGGTTGCATTTTTCTGTTGTTGAATTGCGACTTTGGAACTACTTTTCAGTTTCAAGCTACGAAAGGCAATTTCGAACCAAGGTTCATAGATGAGAGGGGGCAATGAGAGAAAGGGGCAGAAGAGCAATTTTTGATTTTGACATTTTTAGAAGCTTTTTGTAAGCAGTGTTTTTTTGGCAGGTGGATCCGCGTTGTCATTTCTGCGAAAGTATAGAGGCCGGATTTTGCCGGAAGTTAAAATGAGATTTGTTACTGAAAGCGCAGCGGGGATGGAGTATTTGGAACAAAAAAACTGCATTCATAGGTAGTGCTTTCATATACTTTTGAGTATTTTTTGAATAGTGAGTTTCAGATTTAATTAAAAAAAATATTTACTAAAGTATTACTGCCGTCGAAAATGTGTGTTGGTATTATCAAAATATATTACTGCTATTATTACCAAAATTTTTATAATATTATTGCTGTCAAGGAAAAATATTCACCACACATTGCTCGGACTGTAAAGTTTTCATTGTGACCAACACATGGCAGCTTTCGAGCTATTGCTAATACGCATCAGTGACACTTCAAAATAACTAAAGCTTTATCAAGTGCTTTTATCAAGGAAGCAAACTTAACACAGAGTAATCTCATCAGGAGACTGGGCGAGCGTTAGGACTGCTAGAAGACTGATCACCAACAGTAAAAGCGACTGAAAAAAGTGCCAGCTACATAGTTGGAGAACCACATGTGAAATGCACCTTACCAAAATATCGAAGCAGGTGCCACTAAATTTGATAGGTTTTCGAAGACCATCTTTCACGTGACTGTTCTTTCTAGTTTTGGTACCACTCAGTTTTTCAAGCACACATTTTCGAATTCTGCTCATATGCAAAAAAACTTTAAGCACTCCATAAGTACACAGTTTGCAGAGATGTAGCTGCTCGGAATTGTCTGCTAACGTCAAACAATCATGTTAAAATCAGCGATTTTGGGATGTCCGATGAGAAGACAATAATACAAGATAAAAGTCTTGATAAGGTTGTTGCAGTTCTTTTTTCTTGCTTTGAAATTATTCTCTCAGTATCTCACACTTTGACATTTTTCACACAGATTCCACATCATTATAATTATTGTCGTTGTCCCTTAATAGTCAAATGAGCTGGTTATTTAGCATGAATGTAAAAGAACAAATGAGTAAGACTGGTTAACTCTATCATTTTGATCAACTCTTTCTTCGTCGTGACAAATACTTTCCTTTTCGTCGTTGATACGGATGAGCAGCATCTTTATTCTTCTCTGGCTTGAGCTTCTCTTATCCACACATTTTAATACAGTCGTTCTAGAGCATTCTTCAGCTCAAGTATGGAGTCTGGGATTGCAGTTTCTTTATAGCGTCAAGAACTCAGGAGTAAGGGCCATCTTCTCTAATTACAAAGTGGCGTTACAAAAATTTGGAGAAAATTTGTTCTGAAAAACTTTCACTGTTTTTAGAGAATGCAGAGAGTTTTACCAGCCTTTCTACTAGTTCGTCGCAAAAAAAATGTGCAAAAAAGTGCCTAGAACGTTTATGCCTCGTTTCATTGATGGGCTACTTGACCGGTTAATCGATAAGTCGGCTGTTTGACTTATTGAGTGATTGACTAGTTAGCTGGTTAATGCTAGTGCTTGTCTTCTTATTTGCGCATATGAAATGGTAGATTTAGGTACCGATCAAATGGCTAGCACCAGAGACAATGCAGACACGCATTTATACAATCAAAAGTGATGTGTGGTCCTTCGGGATTATGGTTAGTAATGGCGCTGCTTTTCAGTTAGCAGATTTCAAACAGACCAGGTCGGATCTTTGCTCAAGCCTGCTTCGTTCTCAAAAATTATTCAGCCCGAGGCAGGTAAGAGCCTAAAAAGTCCATATTCACAGCATATTCGTGGAAAGCAGACTTTTTTAAATAGCCACATCAAAAACAGAGTAGACTTGCATTTAACAGGTCTGGGAAATATACTCCGAAGGTTATGAGCCTTATCCGTCGCTGTCAAATATTCAGACCAGAGCGAAGATCATCGTCCAGAACTATCGCATGAGTATGCCTGAGGTAACGCCATTCTTTAGTAATCGTCTGCATGCGGATGTTTAGGACTTCGGAATCAGCATATCCCGGATGGAATGTCAGGCTAGTGTTTTGCTAGTCAGTTCATCTGGGTTCTGAGTTGTGGCGAATCAAAACCTGTGATGCTTGTTGTTATTGAAACGCTAGAAATGCATGATTCGAGCGTTCAAATCCAAAAAACGTCAGGATTTACCAAGCCTCAACACACCTTTTGAATTCTTTGGTCTATTAAAAAATTTTGAAACCGGAATTAGCTATGAATTTTTCAGGGTACGCCACCAGAAATTTCAGCACTGGTAGCAAAATGTTGGGCGAAAGAACCAGCCGATCGACCGTCTTTCGCACAAATTGTTCAAGAACTGAAGGAGATTACCACGTTGTCTACCGCCGAATCATCAAGCCCTGAGCAAGAATGATCACAAAAATGTAATAAAAAGTGAAAAAACAAATAAAAAAGTGCTGGAGTGGTATTCGAGCACTATTGCAGTAGTGGATTTGTATTTCCACTGTTACCAAAATTAAATTGCCAAATAACATGTGTGAATATTATTTGCAAATCAAAGTTCGGATCAGTAGACTTTCCCAGGCTCACAACTAGGAATCAAAGCTCCCTCATTTCGCAAACAATATGAGAAACACTCGAATATGGCCGGAATCGGACAATGGACAATATCGCCCACTCTGCAATCTCTTCATTGTCAATGCTTTGATTTTCAAATGCACATTCTTCGTGCACGAATATGAATGAATATCAAGACCAGCTTCCAGGACTTGCTTTTTTCAGAAAATTGCAAAGAAAGAGAAGGATGGTTAAAAGAATTGATAGTTATGAGCCGAAGGATGGAATTTCAGAGGGGAAGGGGTCCCTACTGGAGAAGAGAAGGAGGGAGAATACTGGAAATGCATGAATCATGGATACTGATTTTTCTGCACAATATCCAAGACATACCTATTTAAAGTGTTAAGGGCAAACGATCGGGTTAGATGAGGAAGTGGTGGAGGAGTTGGAAGAAAGAAGGGGTTGTGAAGTAAAGAAAGGAGTGAGAGGTCATGGTTTCATGTTTGGAGGAATAAACAAGAGGCGTAAAGCACTCTTTCGGTGGGGAGAAAAAAAAA